CCCTGCCCTCCCTCCGCGAGCTGGACCTCAGCTACAACCAGCTGAGGGACGCGGGCCTGCAGCTGCTCTGCGAGGGGCTCCTGGGCCCCCAGTGCCGCATCGAGAGGCTGCAGCTGGAGTACAGCAACCTGACGGCCGCCAGCTGCGAGGCCCTGGCCTCGGTGCTCAGGGCCAAGCGGGAGTTGAAGGAGCTGGGGGTGAGCAACAATGACATCTGCGAGGCTGGCGGCCGGATGCTGTGCCAGGGCCTGGCCGACTCCGCCTGCCCGCTGGATTCACTCAGACTGGAGGGCTGTGGCCTCACCGCGGCCAACTGTCAGGACCTGTGCGGCATCGTGGCCGCCAAGGCCTCGCTGAGCGAGCTGCAGCTGGGCAACAAGCTGGGGGACACGGGCATGGCGAAGCTGTGCCCTGGGCTGCTGAGCCCCAGCTCCAGGCTCAAGACCCTGTGGCTCTGGGAGTGTGATTTCACGGCCAGTGGCTGCAAAGACCTCTGCCGGGTGCTCAGAGCCAAGGAGAGCCTGAAGGAGCTCAGTGTGGCTGGCAACGAGGTGGGGGACTAGGGCTGCTGTGTGAGAACCTGCAGGAGCCCAGCTGCCAGCTGGAGTCCCTGTGGATGAAGTCCTGCAGCCTCACAGCCGCCGGCTGCCCGCACGTCAGTTTCGATGCTGGCTCCGAACTGGAGGCTCCAGGAGCTGCAAATGAGCAACAACAAGCTGGGGAACGTGGGCATGGAGGTGCTGTGCCAGGGCCTGGGCCAGCCGGGCACCACCCTGCAGATGCTCTCACTGGTGGGCTGCGAGGTGACCGACCAGGGCTGCACTAGCCTGGCCGCCCTGCTGCTGGCCAACCACAGCCTGCTTGAGCTGGACCTCAGCAACAACTGCATGAGCGAGGTGGGCGTCATGAAGGTGGCCGAGAGCGCCCAGCAGCCAGCTGCCCCCTGGAGAAGCTGGTCCTGTACGACATCTACTGGAGGGAGGAGAAAAAGGACCTTCTGTGGGCTGTGGAGGAGAAGAAGCCGAACCTGAAGATCATCTGCTGAGCCCCGGGCCCCTGCCCCTGCCCCGGCGCCCAAGGGGCTGGCCAACTCTCGGGGCTCACTAATGGTGCCTTAGCCTTAACTGAAGGGAAATGCTCAAACCAGCTTCTGTAAACATTCTGGACACTTTATAATTATTAAAATGTTTTGGGTAGAAGACAAAAAAAATGCACTGTTACTAGCCTTGTGAGATTATCTGGCCTTTTTTCTTTTTCTCTTTTCAGAGGCAATGGTGTGTGTGTGTGTGTGTGTGTGTGTGTGTGTGTGTGTGTGTGTGACTGGGTTTGGGGGCAGACATGTGTTGAGGTGAACATAAGTACCCTCTTCCCAAAGCCAAAGAATTTCATTCAAGTTGCTAGACTTGTGGGGGGCAGGGAAGATATTGGGGGACACCAGGAGGGGCCGTGGGGTGAAGAACAGAGCCAGACAGCAGTTGTTATGGATACTTGTGACTCATTCAGAAAACACTCAGTGAGAGTCCTTGGGAGACTGAGTGACAGGCCAAAGCCCTTTCTCTCTCTCAGGAGGCGACAGGACCATGGCAGCCGGCACAGGCTCCCACCTGACAGTTGATGGTCTGGTGCGCCCAGCACCCCCACACCCACCTGCTGCTCCCTTTCTGGGCCCACAGACCCCAATCGGGCCACTGTGTACATTTCTTCTAGAATAACCTTCCCAAGGCACATTTCATACCATTCCCCACCTGTGCCTAAATGCTTTCTCTGGAGCCTCCACTACCTTCTGACTCAGTTTGACACAGCAGTCAGCACACGAGCAACAGTCCCACTAGCAGTGACTCCAGGACTGGACTCTGTTCCCCATGCCATTCCCTTCACCTGAATTGTTCCCTCACATCTGCCTCCTGGGAAAACAACTCCGGATGCTCCCAGCCTGGAGTGTTCCCAGCTTCCTCTGCCAGCCAGCAAGGAATGGCAACCTGGGTCCCACCACTGCAGGAAACTCAGTTCTGCCAACAACCAGAATTCGCAAGAAACAGACTGTTCCCTGGACCCTCCAGAAAGGAGCCCAGCCTGCAGACCCCTGGATGTCAGTCAGGCCAGAGCCACGCTGGGCTTCTCACCTACAGACATGTGCAGTAAGGAATCTGTGTTGCATTAGGTCATGAAATTTGTGGTTGTTATTACAGCAGCTTACAAAGCTAATACAATAAGGATTTTGTGAAAATGTGGTGGGTCAACTGTGGGGGTGAAAATCTAGAAGAAGCTCAGATGCAGAGTGAAGACCATTAACCAATTTATTTAGCAAATGTAACCTGACAACCACCTGCCAGGTGGAGGGGACACAGTGGTGAACAATCACAGTGATGGTGATGGAGTGGCTTTTCCCAGGACCCAGCAGTTACAGGAACCTCCGGGAACATGGACACATGCTTAGGGTGGAGTGTCCCTTTCTTGGAGAAGGGGCCACAATGTGATAAAAATTCCACTGCAGTTCACCTGGCTCCCTTCCCCCCAAATTCATGCCCAATAATGAGCTTTAGGGATGAAGCTGGAGGGTCGGTTCAGCTTCATGATCAAAGGTCACAAGCTGGTTTAGAATTTGGCCTCTCCCTTCTCAGGATCAAAGGTCACAAGCTGGTTTAGAATTTGGCCTCTAGTCCCTTCTCAGCCCCGGGTGAGGTGGTCACTGTGAGTTCATTCTGTGGACGACGTCATCATGGACAGCCAGCCAATGGAGAGTGGACCATGGCTCTGACTGTCCCCCTTGAAGGAACCAGGTGGGGTGTGGCCTTTGTAGTCACCTACAGTGACCTTCACTCTGGGGCCCTGGGAAGGGAACCTCAGGCTGCCCATGACCCTGCCCAACAGGAACAACTGGCTGCAAAGGAACAGACTGGAGGTAGAGGGAGGGTCAGAGGTCAAACACCTCCCAGCAGCACTACTTTCTGCAATTATTATATGTCACTTCCCTGGGTCCTGCCTTTCTTTCCACACTTTCAATGAGGCCCCCTCACAGGGGTGTGGTGAGGATTGGGTGAGATTCATGGAAAGTTAATAAAATTCCTGCACCCTGGTCTCCTTATCTGTCATGTGGAAAAGTTAAAAGATAACTAGTAAAGTGCTTCTCTCAGTGAGTTTTTAGTAAGTATGTTCCTGCTGTGAGGTTTTGCTGTTAAGCAGGTCCCCAGCTCAGGGCTGGGCAGGGGGAAGCAAAGACCTTACTTCCACCTGAGGGTCCTCAATGCTGTTAGCTGAGCCTGGGGCCACTGGGATCTCCAGGGAAGGGTCAGGCAGTGGGTCAGGCAGAAGGGAATTCCCCACTCCTTTTAGTGCTGGGCAAATGGTCAAGGCAGTGGGCTCCTGTGAGAAAATCCTGAAAAAAGGCCACAAAGCCCCAGAGAAGGAACCCTGTGGGAAGGTGAAGATGTGCAGTCCATCGATGGCATCATAGAACAAGACCTCCCCGCTCTCATAGTCCAGGAAAACCCCCACTCTTTTAGGAGGTTTGACAATTGTGAGTTTGCTCCAGGGATCGGTTTGAGCCTGGAAGTCATGCACCTCCAACCGTGCTATTGTCCAGAATCCATTCTGGGGTGCTATTTTAACAAGTTTTACCTCCATGTCCACCCTACACACCCCGATTTGCCACACTTTCCTGTCCCCCACCTCCACCTCCCAGAAGTGTCTGCCTGAAGTGAAGCACTCACGGCCCAGCACACAGAAACGATCTTGAAATCTCCTGGGGTTGTCTGGCAGGCTCTGCCATGTGTATACGAACTGCAAGCTCCTCTGGTCCTCAGAAATGAGGAGGTTGGGGTGCGCGGTGTCCGGATCCAGAATCACGTCCGCTGCAGAGAGTTCCAATGGTGAGGGGTCAGCCATGGTTTCCAGATCTGAGAGCCTCAGGCTCCAAGGCTTGGGTCTGGCTTGTGAGACCTGAGCCCAGAGCCTGGGGTCCCAGCTGCCCTGAGTGTGACCCTCAGCAAAGCCAAGAGAAACCACAGGGCCTGGTGTTCAGTGAGGAGGGGAGGGTGAGGAGGACTGGGGTCTGCCTAACCTGCCATCTCAAGTGGCCACCTTCCTTCTATCTTCCTCCTGTTTCCTCCCCAGAATGACTGTGCCCACCTGTGCTGCATAGTCACATGGATTCCAATTATAGCCCTTGCTCTGCCCTCCTGAGCTGGACGACTTCCTTTTCTGCACTGTCCTTTTCACACACACACACACACACACACACACACACACACACACACACACACACACTATGTAATGTCCCTAGTCTCAATATGATATCTGTAAAATGGGAATAAAAATACTCATCTTCAGGGTAGAATAAAACAGAATGTGAACTGTATTTAGCTCAAGAACAGCCATCAAGGAAGCATCTGGTGTGATCACAACGACCAGTTCTTGGCTGTGCTGGGCCATGCTGGGCTCTATGTGATCCTCACTCCCCATCTGCCCCTCCCTCTTTGCCCAGGAACCGTCCTCCTTGGGCAGCATCACTGGGCTATCCTGCCTCTGGTCACCTGTTGGCTTTGGCCAAGGGCAGTGCTGGCTGAAGACTGGAGGGAAGGAAAGAGAGGCACAGCCCCGACTTCCCCACGTCCTGTGATGGAGACGCTCTAACAGAGCAGCCTCCTCTCAGGCAGCCTCTCCCTGAGCCACAGCCTCCTCAGGGCTCCAGT